TCGCGCAACTACGCCGAGATGACTGTTCATCGTTCTTGCTTGCTCAATTAAAACGTCAAGTGGTCATGGAACGCTGAGTGCCAGCGTTCCTTTGAGGGTATCAAGCAAAGCTCGATACAATCGCCGATCTTGGCGATTGCGGATTAGGACAGACCTTCTCATGTGGTCTGTGACGCCAGCGATTTTGCAATCGGCTGTGCGTTAATGCAGTATGACACAGACGGCGCAGAGCGCGTCGACTGAGATCAATCGCGTCAGCTGCGACCAGCTGAACGCAATTACCCAGTGCATGTTACGGAACTCCTTGCCATGAAGCACGCACTGGCTAAGTTTCGCGTCTATCTCCTCGGAGATAGACCGTTTGTTGTCTATACGGACCATACGTCATTACGCACGGCCGTAAACAGCCCACAACTCTCGCAAAGAATGGCGAGGTAGCTGTCTTTCTTCGCGGAGTATCACTTCTCCGAGGAGTAAAAACCAGGACGACTCAATGTCGTCGCTAATGCGCTTTCGCGCCGGCCCGATTTCGAGCCGGACGCACAAATCAACAGTGAAAACTTGCTCACTGTTGCGACACTGACAGTCAGTGTCCCGTCGTCAAGTTAACTTGATGACGTGCGGAAGGCATACGCAGGAGACACGATTTTCCTTCGTTTGATGGGTCACCTTTCGAACCCATCCCGTAAATCCTTGTCGGATTTGCCGGCTCTGTACCGTTCCTCGTTAGATCGGTATACGACTCGAAATGGCCTGCTGTACTATACAGCTGTTGCTGACGACACGCCTCGTGTCGTCGTACCCGCTCATCATGATTTGCCTTTACGCATAATGTATGAGTGTCACGATGCCCCAATAGGCGGAAATCGTGGTAGAGAAAAGACCTACCTCACGGTAAGTAGTGACTTTTACTAGCCACGCCAGTATCAGTTTGCACGCAAGTACATACGCGCTTGCGAGGTTTGCCAACGGGTGAAGTTTAGTCCTTCATCCCGTGCGCCATTGCAGCCTCTGCCTGTTCCGACAGAGTGCTGGCAGTCCGTTTTAGAAATACTTCGTATTCGGCTTTCCCGAAGACGCTCACAAGAATAATGGTATTCTTGTGTTTGTTGACCGATTCAGCAAGATGATTTATCTTGCTGCTGTCCCCAAGTCGATCAAGGCTCAAGGTTGTGCTCGTGTATTTCTTGACACGGTCTTTAAACTCCACGGGTTGCCCCGTGAACTCGTATCCGACCGTGACCCTCGGTTCACGGCGGAATTTTGGCAAACCGTGTTCCGTTCTCTTGAAACACGATTGAAGATGTCTACTTCTGACCATCCCGAAACAGATGGTCAGACGGAATGTGCGAACCGTGTCCTCAAAGAGACCCTTCGAGGATATGTCCCCTCATTTCCGAGTTGGAGCGAATTCCTACCCATGGTGGAATTCGCCATCAATAATTCGGTGCATGCTTCAACGCAGCACACACCGTTTTACGTGAATGGCCTACGCCATCCACGAGTGCCCACCCTTATAGAGTGTAACTCTTGGATAAGGGGGGAGGGACTCGCTCGAGCAAAAACCGTTTTGGCTCTTGCTCATCACGTGTCGACGCTAACGTCGTCACGTATGATGCCGTTGTCGATCAAGTCGACATCGATGAATAAAATCACCTCAATAATAGCGATGACGCTATTATTGACTCGGATGATGATGACGATGCTGGTATATTCAGCATCGTCAACGATTATGCCAGCGAGGAAGAAGACAACCTCGCTGAAGAAGAGAACAATCTCTTAGCAGTGCTCACGAAGCGCACTGAAAGACAAAACAACGAGTCAGGAGATAACTTCCTGCTGAATCGAGAAGCGGTAGTCCGTTTCGTTCAGGACTCCATCGCAAATGCGGTGGACCGTCAGAAACAGAATGCAGACAAGAATGGAAGAGCAAATGTTCTTTCATATAAAATTAACGACCTAAAACTACTTTCTACGGTAAACTTACCTGGACATGCAGTCACTAGTGTCGGCAGTAGTAAAATACTGCCGAAGTACATTGGGCCATTTCGAGTGTTGCATCGCAAGGGCAATGCATACACACTCAAATTGCCACGTAAGATGCGCACGCATCCTACGTTTTACGTGAGGCTACTCAGGCCGTACTGTCAGTACGAGCCTTCTTCTTCCGATGAAGATAGCCCCCACGTTCAAGAACATCCATCAAGTTCTTGCGTTCGCGCTCCAGACGATCCGTCTGGTCGCGCAGATATGATACCTCGGAACTCGACCGAGATATCTCCCCGCGAGCTGTCGACAGCTCGCCGAATAGGGAGCGAACATCCCGCTCGACCTGAAGCTGCGCTGTGGCATAATCGGCGTGATCCCTCGCTCGATCAGCCTCGTAATCCTTGCGGTTCTTCCGCACGGTATCGGTCAAAGCGTAGCGCCGGTCGCGCTCGTGCTTTAAGTCATCGCGCAATTTATCGATTGCGCGATCCATCTCGTAAGGGTCGACATGGTGAACCGAATCATCTGGAGGAGGTCTTTCCTCCTCCATTACATCCTTTGGTGGATGCTCACGGTGATCAACGCTTCCTAGTGGGGCGTATCTTGAACCACCGTGACGATTCAGGATCAAGGACGAGCTACCTCGTCCAGTGACGGGGGTATCCACCCTCTTGGAACAGCTGGGAGCCCCGATCTTAGCTGCTGATAGATGTTGAAGGTCTCGTCCGCCAGTATGACGAGACCCATCCGATAGGTCCTCGGTTCCATCGGTAAACACGCGCCCTAGGCGCTTGTAGACGGATTGCAAGTTTGCTATCGCGTCACGCATCTCCTCCGAGATGTGTGCCCTTCCCCAGGGCGAACTTAGGGAATACACGTCCCTATGTGCACGCTGCGAGTTGTCAACACAACTCGCACAAGGGTCTCCCCATGTGAGGCAAGGAATGCCTGCCTCACTCGACAAAAAGTGCGACCGGTACCTGGCACCGGTTGGCGTTCGCTTTTCGAACCTGAGGCGTGTCGCCTCAAGTTTCTTGAGCCACCCTTCTCGTCCAAAATTCTTCACGTTTTGGACGAACGCGTTCCACGCAGCCAAAAGCGAGGCTTTGTCACGCTTTTGGTTGCTGTTGTACATCGATGTCTAAGAAAGACATCGAGATAAAAGTCTTCCTCAGCGCAAAAGTTGCTCGCGCTGGGACTCAATCCGTGAAGCTCAGTCGCATCGAATAAGGGTATTCGATGGTGTTGGCTTGTCTCGTGAGACAAGCCATTGATGAGCCGTTCGGGAAAACGCCACGGCTTCAGCTCATCACGCTTCACGGTGGTACCTTTGTTGGTATCACAATTGCCAGTATGACGATGGCTTGCACCATCGTCAAGTCGCTTGTGCGAAGGAGCACGAGCTGATTGCGGTGATGAGCAAACATACTCATCACCAAATTCGTCATCACTGCCGAACAGACTGTGTTGCAACTCACGAGTCCGTTCGTTCGGCAGTGGCCTTGGCGAACACTGAGGCGTCGCCGGTGATCGAGACGCCTCTGCAGCATTGCCCGAGTCAGACACGTCTGACTCGCCAGAGTAGATGACCTCAATGTCGGGGTCATCATGCGCACGCGGTGCTGTACCGCGTGCACCTGCAGCACCTCTTGCTGCAGGTGAAGAACGAGCAGCAGACGACGAATCGTCAGCCGCAGAAGCTGGCACAGGCACAGACTCTGTGTGCCTTAAGTCACCCCGCATAGACATGTTAACTATGCGAGGTCGAGCGGAAAGTGAATGGAACGGACCCAACAAGTGCTTCCTGTCCCAATGGTGCCAAACGGGTAGCCGCCATATTTTCGATAGTCACACGGTGACAATCAGTTAAGGGGGGTGATGTAACGGGGCAGCCCGTTACATGGAATTGTCACTATAAGGAAAGTGACAATTAAGAATATGAAGTTGAATATTCTTTAAACAATATCACCGAAGTGGTGATATTGAAGGGTCGACCAAAGAGTCTGTTCATTGGTTGATATCTTGATGATATCAACCCACCAATCGCCGCAAGACGCGCGCAATGAGTGTTGACGAGACGTCACCATACACTCAGGTATATTAGCATAATTAAGTTAAGTCAAACAGAGAGACAGTAGCAAAAAGACTTAATTATATTAATATAACAGTTTTACTTTTTCCTTATCCTACGCTTCCTCGTTCGCCTCGTGTACGTCTGTCGGGGCACCGATACCCTTGCGTTAAGTTCACGCAAGGGTGTGCCCCGTTACAGCAGATCCCTTTCGACCTTTGCGCGATGTTGTTGCAAAGGCGGAGCTTGTTCCGTCGAGACGTGGGTTATAGGAGTTTGCTGCTGCTAGTCGCCTCGGCTCGATGCACGACGCGTGGAAGTATGACTTGTTCAACGGGTAGCAGTAATCATGGAGCGTGCGTTCGGCCCGACGCGTCGAGCCGCGGGCATTGGGGTCGGTGCCCCGGAAATGTCGTCAAAGATAGCCGAAGCTAATATCTGCCGCTCGTCGACGTTGCCACTCGCTTCGTCATCACTCGAGGGCTCGTCGTTATCGTAGTTGCTAGGGCTAGTGTACTCTTGCTGCGGTGATAAATGTTGGGAAGACTGAGGAGGGATCGGTGCCTGGCTGCCATGGGCAGGCTGCGCACCGTACACGAGCAGATCCGGTCATTGAAGACGTAGTAACGCAGGTCCTGCTTCTCACAGGATTCACAACACGCACACACGTGTGACTTGTACGTGATGGGAAGTACCTTGTAGCGCTCGACAGTTGGGGATTACGAGCTCGAGGTCCGGCTTTATTCAAGCACGACTGTGATCAATGTCCCTGTGGCACACGATCAGTAGGGAGACCAGGCCCTCCCGAGATGGATCCAGTCAACACCTTAGTTGTCCACAAGGATGGGACCTGGTCGACACTCGGCTGGTGCAGACGCTTAGACCCGCCAAACCAACATCGCTCATTCTGCAAAGTGCGCAGGAACGACCGCACACGACGATGCATCTCTTCTGTCGTCTGTTTACGGCCTCTGCTATCGTCTTGTGGAGAAGTGCTGGCTCAACGACCGTTGGTAGTGATCGGACCAACGAGGCAGCTCGTGCCATCGCCACCGTTCCTCTCCTTCGCCACGAGGCGAACGCGTCCTTTGCGTCGACGGAACACTTGCAGCCACCCAATCTTGCAGTAGACGCGACGGGCCACGACCACCCGAGCGACGACAAGTGGGAGGTGAGAAGCATCCTGTCACGCTTAGCCGATGGTGTTGACGCGCTTCGTGTAAGAATGTCGATCTTCCGGCCAAGAGACGTGGTCGGCATTCTTGAGAGGCTTGATTATCGACCTTTGGGGGATGCGACGACCAATGTCAAGAAGCTTATGGAGTGGTATCAGCGAATCGAGAAGCTTCGAGCCAAGGGCTACGCTTTTGAGGACGATATGGTTGCCGAGTACCTGTTGAAGAAGAAGCCCGACGGCAACGTGTTGAAGGCCTTCTTACGTCAAGTTCGTGCACAACGCGCAGAGAGGGAAAGTCCCGTGAGCGGCTTGGAAAAAGCGCTGGCTGCAAAAGACCCGAAACTCCTTGGCCATCTGGCTCGTGTGTGGTTGAAATCAGGAGTACGACCTGACGAAGTCTATCAGGTGATGCCCATCGCAGCGATGAGGAGGCTGGAAGATGGAGTCCGCACAGACGAGGACTGGTTAGCTGTCCGTCGTGGAGTTGAATCCTGGCTAGACTATGTCCACGAGTTCAACAGAAAGTATCCGGTAAGCGTCTACGACCAGGAAGCCGTTGTAGACCACTTGGTGGGTCACAGAGGAATGGGCGAGGCCATGGAACTATTGGAGTCTTTTAAGCCCTTAAACAGGTGGGATGGATATAGGAGTTGGTATCTACAACTCAACGCGAAGGTTATCAAACCGCGCAAAGAATCCACACTTCTGTAGAAGATGGACGCAAAACCGGATGAAGTCTTCAACATGATACCCGTTGCGAACAACATTTGTACGCATGACGTCGGATGTCTCGATAAGTGGCCTGCCATGCGCCCCGAGCTACAGCAGTGGCCGCATTGGTTTCATGGACATGGAGGTTGAAGGGGCGCTTTTCACCCGAATGATTGCAACTATCCCCGCCAGATTGTATCCGATGCGCTGACCAGCTACAGCGAAACAGAAGTGAGGGCGTTTCGTCGTGACCTCCGAGCCGATCGAAATGTTGAGGATGTTGCTCAGGGGATAGAGAAGGTGCTGTCTCTTCGCGACGCCAATCTAAAGAACGAGCGCCAAAGATGGTTCAGCGAGGGTGACGTCAAGCTTGAGTTCTCGAGATGTGTCCAACAGATGCAGGTTACAACGGTGAACCGTTTCCCGGGTGGTGACTCTGGGAAGCTGGAAGATCCGTGCGACTGCAATGGGGACATGTCAAGGAGTTTTGAGGAAACGTGGACGGCACATTGCGTGTATACGGTGAGTTTGTTGATGTTGCAAATCGTGTCTGGTCTGGTGTCTTTGACGAGACTAACGCAAGAGTTTCGTAGGCTTTTGTTCGTTAGCATTTAAGACCGCAAGACGGCCAGGCGAAGCGCGCGGCTCATGTACTAGAAGCCTTGCCCATGCTTCACTACTAGGAGCAGGGGGAGGGGTAAATAGCATGATGAGTCCGTGCGTGCGATTTGGGGGAAGGCACGTCCGTACGGTTTATAGCGCGCTGGCGTCGTAACGAAGGCATTCAATCGAAGACAGCACTTGATGACCATTGCATCTGTTGTACTGCAGACTTGTTGTTCAGCGCTTCGGTGTGGTAGACAGCGTATTGCAGACACGAGCTCGTTCTCAGACATGTGCTTTCTCGATTGTCGCAACGGGTGCGCTCGCCATAGAGCAATGTGACCGATTGTTGCTTGACAGATCTCCGTCAGGCGTACTACAATCGATCAGCAGCAAGCCACATCGGCCAGCCATGTTGTGGCGTATATGCGATATGAGCTCGAGTGACTTTTCTGCAACAACGTCAATGCCTTCCGCACACGTCCGTCGGTCGGTCAGGCTGTTTTGCTTCCGATGGTGAGTTCTTTCCACAACACTCGAGATATGCATTGGAGACCAGTGGTGCCTCGGTTGCATGTGCTTGAATACGCTCGCAGTGTTGTCCGAGCTTTGGCCACCGTAGGTGAGTTCTGCTAAGACCATACACACTTCTTCGAAAGCAGCCACATCGGTCATACCTTGCTGTCAATTCTGAACTTGGCTGTGTTCTCGACAATGACCAGTCACAGCCCAATCTCACAAGCTGGCGTACAGCTACCCGCACGCTTGCACACACATCTCTAAGTACATTCTCGTCGATGGCACATATCGTTCCCGATGGAATCAACGAGCCGCGACCTGTCCTTTCGTATCGTTAAACATCTCCATCTTCAGCGATCATTCGACTCACTGATTTGTGACACGCTGAACGAACGATGTGCTTGGGCTCCAGCGCGACAAAACACACGTGCTTTCTTTCCATCGCGTTATTCGACTGAAGAACCGCTTCGACTCGCACATGAGACAGTGATCAACGGGACTTGCAGGATGATTTCAAACGTGTGGAGCAGACTTTGACAATGTGCGTCGCAAGAAGTCAAGTATCCACGACATTGAGGTCGCGCACACGTCGTAACCATTATGTGCCGTGTACTGGACGAGCGGTGTGCCCCAGTGGCCGTCAAACAATGTGCTAGTGCACATTGATCGTCTACCCAAGTCCCCATGCGAGTCGGTAACAAATATTGCGATCGTCATACAGAAACCACTTGCACTTGGCGTACAGTCATTGTCTTTCACGTGACCCGCTGCAACGTCAGAGGTGACGAGTACCTACTCACGGATGCTGGGCATGTGATGTCGAGATGCAAACTATAGTGTGTCTGCTGAACTGCGATATGCGCTCTCACTTGGGCACGTTAGTGAGCCCGCCGTCTCTCGACGTTTCGATACACTCCGTACAAGTCGACCAACGACAAGTGCACTTGATCGACAACACGTCCATGCTCGCTCCTGTCAAGCCATTCCGGAAACGATTATCCACGACAAAAGTTGGCGGTGCTGCTTGCTTCTCAAGTGCTGCTACTTGAACACGACAGATTGGCAGTAGATATGGAGCTGTCAGCTTCGATCTGTTGCTAAGCGCAATGGCGTGATGATCTCGTTCTTGATCGGGACGTCGTCTATTACAGACTGGTCGAGTAGAATATGTAGAAGACGCGCAATTGGCCGGGGCAGCAGCAGACCAGAAGACAGTTGGTGAGAGTGGAGTTTGATCCAGCGTGTGGACTGTAAATCTTTTGTGAGACAGACTTCTCCACTGAACACCGTCTACACAATCGACGTCAAGGGTAACTGGTGCATGGTCAATTTAGCTCGCTGTGCTTTGCTCAAGGCGCTAGAAACACACTGAGACGTAAAGACGAGCTGCCGCCTTGATAACTGTACTTTTGTCAGTCCTTCGGACCTGGCCAGAAAGCCGTTGATGCATTTTTGTAGAATCCGCTCGCCTCGCTACTTTGCAATCCACGCGGTGTCCAATGTCCGAGAATCAAGTGAACCTCACAACTCAACATACCGTTGGTCGGACCATTGCGCACTGCTACCCGGTACAACGATCTTGTCTGCAGATCTCAAGGACGCCAACAAAATCAACGCTTCATCTTGTAAGCGGTCGTAGCCGGCTGCTCTATCTCCACGCTACGTTCACCATTGCATTGGGCGCGATGTGGGCAAACTTTGGGAACATTCCTACACGAAAGTCAAATCACCTCTCGGCATCAATATCCGATACGGAGATTCGACAAGATGTATCGGGTAAGACGTCTTGAGCTCGAGGTCTCGTGTGGTTCAACTACGACGATTGCACGGTATGATGCGACGAGAGTGAAAATATGACCGCTGGGAGAAACTGAGGCAATCAACAGAGTCAGAAAAGACCCATTCCAGCATTGTCGCCTCTTTGACAGCCATGACAAGTGATTGATGCCCATGGCAAACATCAACATCTCATAGTAAAGCTTGTTCCTCGAAAAAGTCTGAAGCATCAATTCAATGGCCTTTGTACGCCAGTCCAAATCTCTTCATCATCACGATTGCCGAGTCCGCAAAAAGATTCAGGCTCACTCGTTTACGCCGTCATCGTGCTTTTGCGGCAGATTGTACCTCCGGCCGCTTCCAAGTCAGCGAGCGAGTCCACGAGCAATCCAGTGCGGCATGTTTTGTGACGAAGGCTAAAGCTTCGTCAACGTCGAGGTACTCCATTTCACATGCTAGAATTGTACCGTCGAAAGCGCTCGTCGGCTGCTTGTTGTACGGCTTACAAGCGTGTCCAATTATGAGTTCGCAAGAAATAATGATCAGCGGAGCGCTCTTCTCAATCAAAAGCCGCCAATAGTTTGCCCGAAATGACGACATATCATGCGATTCGCATGAGAGAAAAGCGCAGGCGTCCTACGTTTTCACTCAATCGTGACGAACGAACGGCTGCCTGAACTTTCAACTCAGGAAACAGACTGCAAGACGATAGCCTCTCGGTTGCCGACCCGAGATGCCGCACAGGCCGCACCTCCCAGGGATGACATGCAGCCAAGCATCGTTGAGCCAACCCCTCTTATCTCACGTGATGTCTTCATCCCTTTGTTTTTCGAACGTCTCAAACAATGTAGCTGTCCACTCAGCGACAAAACTCATCGCAGACGACACTTGCCTGATCGTGCTGGAGAAGAAGGACTGCTGCGTAGCGTCGAGTACGGCAGCAGCTTTACGATCCGGAATCTGGACAAACGGAAAGACCCATCGCGGTAGCCTCCTGCATCTCATCTCTTCCAACGAGACCTTCCCAAACGGTAAAGTGTCGTCGTACTATCCTCCATGGTTTGACCGCTCGCAGGCATAAATGAAAGGCTACTTCTCTCCGTCAACGGCTGTCAGCCCGAAATGCAGCTTTCCCTTTTCTGTAAAGATGCAATCGGGACTCACTTCGGGCCGACGTAAAGGCCACCGGATACCGGTGCTTGAGCACGTTCTCCTGATTCGTCGCTCTAAGTTGTAGCAGCATTAGCTGTACACGGAGTCAAGCAGTGCCTGATACTTGTAGTCCACGACGCGACGGCGTACGGCACCTGTGTCCGGGTCGAGCTCGCCTGATTCGACGGAGAAGTCGGCCGCCATCAAAATCCATTTGCGAATACGATAGCCGGATATGGAACAGACTTGAGGTAGTTTTTCCAGCACCGTGTCAAAATGTACAGCCCACTGCTGGCAGCAAATAGCTTCCGTAACTGTGGAAGCAGAACTGCCAATACTTCGACTGATTTTCAAAGCGTCTTCGTCCAATGGTTGACTCCTAATGTGTTTATTCGCTGGTACTGCTGCTCGAAAACCCACTTTGTTGGTTTTCAGAAAGAACAGTGCGCTTAAAAACGTACGGCCGTCACCGACGAGCATGGCACGACCAAGTTCTGGCATCAACTCCATCATCGAATGCTCGAAAGGCTGGATCGGAACATAGTCACCTGATGCGAGAACGACAAAGTCTCGCGGGTCGCTGATTTTGAGGAAACATGTTGGGGTCAGAAACCCACGTTGCCAGAGACGAAGCCACCCGTCCGGGTCACGCATCGACGCGCGTTGGTCCTCCATGACAGCAGCACCAGATCCGTTTGTCTGGGTCACGCGTCGACGTGTATTTCTTCGGTAACCTAAAAAGACGTTGCGGCCACGGAGCACTGTTTCCTGAGAGCGCTCGTCGCAGCGAATCGTAGTACCGGGCAGCGCACGACCAGAGCTACCGAACTCCCAAGCGTGTGGGAAATTAATCGCAGCAAACCCGGACGTCTCGGCAGTGCCAAAGAGCTGGTATATCGGCGTATCAACTGTTTTAAATAGCCGCTCAAGCTCGAAGTCGAGTGGTGCTAACACGGAATAGCAGGCAGCGCAACTTTTGAGTCCAATCTTCTTCTTGATGTTGTTAAGTACAAGCGCCTTGGCAAGCATGTAGCCTATACTGCGACGCCTGCCTCCCTTGCCTTTGGCAAAAAGCAGCTTCTGTGAATTGTTAGTAGCGCGTGTCTTGGCCCAGCGGTAGATGGTCGCATTCACGTCGCCTTTGGCGCAATAGACTTGTTGGCTAAAGCGCGTCCACGTTGCAGGCGCTGCAAAAAACACGGTTGGCTTGTGCTCGGTGACTACTCGTACAAGAGGCAGATTGTACGTCGGCGCACACACCACCGTCAGTCCTGCGATGAGAGGCACGTAAAACTCCAGCACTTGCGACGCCACGTGATGCAGCGGCAGGTACCCTACGATCCGATCGCGGCTGGTCAAGCCAAAGCTCCGGACCAAGGCAGCTGCCGTGAACATCACATTGTCATGAGAAAGCTCTGCACCCCGAACACGGCCCCGACTGTCGTAGTTAAAAGACAGCAAGCAGCATTGGTCTGGCAGTACTCCATACGCTAATGCATCAAGCGAAGACGTAATGCCGGCCTCCTCGGTCGCGAGCGCGCTCATTGCGTACAGATCTTTCGTTCCAATGACAGTGATACTACTGTCACGTAGATCCGCGATAGCAGAGTCTAGTGCAGCTGAGCCTCCAAGAACCACCACGGCTCGAATCGGTCTTCCGAGAGCCTGACGCTCATCGTAGAGAGCTTCCATGGCTTCTCGAAAGTTGTTTTCGAGCGAGTCGATAACCACAATTGTCGCATCCGCCGTCGGTAAAATATCGTCCCGAAGTTCACGCACGCTCCATGAGCTGCGTACGTGAGCAACTACGCCGCCCAACGACACGACTGCAAGATTCATCGCATGCAGTAACGGACTAGCTTGTGCACAGATGACCACTCCTTCTCCGGCTTGAAACCCCACTCGCAACAACGTCCTTGCCACACAGCGCACGCGCACTGCATGTTGTGCCCACGAGTACATTGCGTGTGTCGTGGGCTCACCATCCAGCGTCTGCACACCACGACGGGTTCGAGCTGCTACTGACTCCCGTCCCGCAACTGCCGGTTCATCGGCAAAAGCACCAACAGTCTGCAAAAACGTGTCCCACACGGTCGTTGGCGTTGCAGACACGAGAGCTGCAATTGTCGTGCCGTTGTCAGCATTCTGCGCGACACTCAGCGCCCGACCCCAGACACGTCCCGTGCTGCTGCCTCGACGAGTACTGGCAGCGGTCGTCGTCGTAGAACCACCAGCAGCATGTTTTCCGCCGCCAATACCGCGCGCATCTCGAGTCTCGGGATAGAACACATCACTAGCAGGACTGCTGCCCCAGGAGTACATGTAGCCATCTCTGGCAGCCGGACACGCTGTGTCCACACTCGACTCGATCGTCAGTTCCCCAAACGGTCGCGCCATTGACGACGTCGGGACCTGTGGCGAACGAGGGAGCACCGCTGCGCTTGGGCTTGACAAATGAACCTCCGTCCGCGTCTCGTTGGTTCCTTCAGCTTTTGCTGTGTCGCGCTCTTTGCTGCCTGTGTCTCTTCCTGCGCCCTCTCCGTTGTCTCTGTGGTCGTCGTCGTCGCTCTGGCGTTGCGGCTGCGTCCAAAAAACTTCACCCTGTCGTCGCCGTTTCTTCCGTGTAGCCACGTCGCACGGATGAGGCGTCCAGCCATCAGCAGAGCGAGTAGTACACGCGTTCTTCCTCCTTTTGCTGTCACTGTCCGTCTTGTCGTTCTGGAGCGCCTGAGCGTGAGGGCACCTGCGACTGCGACGAGGGACGGGAACGACTGGGGCCGTGCACGAGAGCATGGCGGCGGTCCCGCAATGGCCACTTGAACACTGTCCACGACGCGGAGCAGCTGTGTGCGTGTCGCAGGCGTTACAAATCCCTCGAGACCACAAGTCGCTTCCCGACGTGGCACCGTTACAAACGGCAGTGGACGAGGGGGCCGCCATGGCGTCGAACGCACCGGCAGGAGGCGGCCACGGGCGGGAGGCCACTGGCGCTGGACGCTACGGCAGCGCTGGGGCGGGTGGAGGCGCTGGACGGTCCAGTGCAGTGCGTGCGCAAGCATAGGGCGTCTCGGCCGGGACGAAGGGTACGGACGGGTGCGCCTTTTTCTGCGCTCTTGCTCACGTGCTCTATTGCAGCAAAGGCGAGTGTCGGGTTGTTTGGGTGGCGGCTGACTATCGCGTTAGTCGGTCGTTGGCGCGGTTTTCCTCGTGCGGATATTGATTTCAAGAGGCTATTCAGTGAACACGGTGGGACGAGCGGGTGTTTACTGAGGGGGCTCAACTGAGCGGGTATATTCTACTTGGCAGGGTATCACGTGTGGCATGTCCTGCTTCTTGGTCATCGCCGCCGATTGCTCAGCTCCTTCCTGCTACATCGACAAGTTACAGCAATACTATTACTACCACGAGGTGACTGATCGTACTACTACTACTACGACGACGACGACGACGACGACGACGACGACGACTGCTACTTCCACGACGTGAGAGTACTACTACTGCTATAAGTGCTACTGAGAAAATCGTCCATTTGTCCGTCGTTGAACGGGGCAGCGCTGGCAACGGAATCACACAATGAAGCAGTTTGTGTCGCATTGTCCCTCCAAGTCGGTGCATGTGCAACCCGTTCAAGTCGTCTGCCAATGCGATATCAGACGAGGAGCCTGGATCAACGAACACGGCCCAGCGACGGCACCGCCTGTCGTTTTTGCAGACGAGCAGGACTCGACTCGATCTGCACTGTACGTCGACTTGCGTCTCGTTTGTCCAATTATTCAGTTCAGCTCAGCTCTGACGGATGTGAATACCAGTTTCCAGCCTCCTCGTGCTGTGGTGGTGAGGCACTGGTGTCGGGTCCGCGTGTTCTAGCCCCAAGCTGCCCAAATGCTCAAAGTCTGCTCCACAGAGCTCTGTGAGCCGCGACATGGGAAACGCGTCGAGCGCCTCGGGCTCCATTTCGTCGTACACGCTCTGCAGCGTCGACGCTTTCAGGTCCTTGACGAGCGCAAAGTTCCACTGTGCAAACACTTCAGCCGAAATGCCCATCCTACACGAAAAAAAGTGAGTCAGTCAAGCGTGTACTCACGTGTAGCACGACAAGCAGCAAAAGTCAGACGAAGGGGTCGTACCGCTGGCGTATACGCTCCTTGACGTCGCCGACGGTATCGCGCTCGCTAAAGCGCACGACACACGGCACTCCATGCGGGTGTATCAACTTCTGGGAGGTGTTCTGGAAACTGAAATGCACCACGCCCTTGTAGTACCACAGTGGGGCGTCGTCGTCGTCAAATGTCGTGTTCCTCAAGTCTCGCGGTGAGCGATCGTGAGCCAATTGGGTCGTCGGCGATGGCATTTCGTTGACTGTGATCACCTCCGTACTAGCAACACCGGATACCGTGTCGTCGGATGTTGCGGACGCTTGCGTTTCCACCACACCATTACCGCTACTCACCTCGTAGATCGGAATCTGTTCCACCAAGATCTCAGGTGAGTTAGGGTCTGACACTGCGCTTTGGCCCCAGTAGCGTGACAGCGGTGCATCGTCCTGAATCAAACGCGTAATCATCGTTCCGTGCTGAATGGTCTCGCACGCACGCAGCGGTGTGTCTTCTGACAGCCTGCAGCCCTTCCGAATAAGCTTTAGCAAGTCGCGAACCATGTGCGTGGACTTCACAAGCACTTCAATATGGCGCTGAGGTGAGGCAGCTGATGCGAGTGTTGCCTGTTCGGCAGCAAAGCAAGCGTCGTAAATGCTGAGATGCACGAGCAACTCCTTCTTCGCTTCGATCTCCGTGATAGGGTGGGCCAGCAGCTCGTAGTACAAAATATTGGTGCGTTCCATGTATTCGGTAAGCAGCTCCTCTAGTGTCGTATGGTCGTCCCCAGCATATCGGGAGTGACGCAACGGCGACTTCATGGGCAAATTGTTAAGAGGTGAGTGCTGGTACAATCGTATAAACAGCCGCTTTGGACCTAGAAGCCCCAGGTGCGCCGCCACAGCATCGATCACTTCATCATACACGTTACTGAACAAAAGCGGCAGGGTAAAGGACTCTTCCTTTGAGTGTCCGTAGCGGTGAAACGTCACCTCCACGCGATCCAGCAAGTATTGGAAGTATGAGGGCACGTCTGGATACCTCTCAACTAGCTGTCTCTGATGCTGGTGAAGCTCTCCCGCACATGATTGTCCTACCTCAGTTGACCCGTGGCTATGAGGGCCCCGGTTGTCGTTGCCATTCCAGGTACTCGAATTTGTTAATGAGCTGGTATCATCCACGCGGTTATCGCCACCATCCGGGCAAACCGCACTCTTCATTTCTTCACCATCAGGACCAACATACGTCGTCTCCGCCGCACCAGCATCGTCTTCCATTCCCTCATCTGCTTTTATCCCAGCACAGCTCGACATGTCTTCGTCTTCTGCGTACTGATAGCAAACGATATCACCATTCTGAATTTCAGATCCCGTTAGCGTTGTCTCCATATCAATCTCCGACACAGAGGCAGGCTGGACCTCTTCGTACAGGAGCAAGTCCGCAACGACAGGAATCGATAGTGCGTCGTGCAGATACTTAGCTAGCTCTGCACCAGTGATCCGCGAGTCCACTACTACGTTGCCCACATACTCCAATCGCTCACCAAGTTTCCTCGTAGGGTCATAAAACTTGATGAACAATATGATCTCATGAGTCTGCAGCGCTGGCGCGTGGTCTGCTGCGACGCGATCGTCAGCGACAGCAAATGCAGTAGCCGCGTCGTCATCCGCCTCCTCCATCTCCTGACTAGTTTTTGTTTCACTTGCACCAAGCAATTTGTCTTCGATCTCTAGAGGTGTGAATTCGTCCCAGAAATGCCGGTGGATGACCGGTGCTGCAATTCTAACCCATTCCGCTACTCCGAGCGTAAGAATGGAGGGAGATGACGGCGATACGGGTGGTGAAGCTGCGGAAGATTCCGGCACGTCGTTCAGTATCTGAAGGTACAGTTTGACAGGGGCTTTGTGCGAGGCATCGTCCTCGATCAGCCAGTCCACGCGACAGCCGAACAAATCAGGACCGAGAGATTGATCGGGTCGAGTTGTGCGATTTTCGCGCGTGATGACTTTCCACAAGCGCTGTCGCGACATGGGAACGCCAGTCTCGTTGTAAACGCGACGGTAGAGCTCCCGGATAGATGCTGCGCGTTTGATGCGAATGCGCAACGTGTTCGAGTTGTTGAATCCAGAAAAGTCCATTGTCTTTGTTATACGTTTCAGTTTGGCGATGCTCGTGTCAGAAGCGATGCGAAGGTTCATGTACAAGTGTTCTGTCTGCTGAGCTTTCTTGCGCCGGCTGACTGCTTTCTCCTCCTCGTGGAATCGTGTCACCAGCTCGGCGGGAATCGCCACTGAGTCAATGTCCCAAGCACAAACATCCGGTTCGGCCGGCGATATTTCCATTTTGATGCTGTCGGATACATGGTCAGCCGCGGAGACCCCTTTTGAAACACAAGGTGCCATCGCAGTGCTCCCTGTACGTGCAGCATCTCCTTCCTGAATGGCGCTGATATCGTTTTCACCGTTGCGCACGTATACGAGCATGTATGCGCTAGAGTAACTCCTACCAAGTGGAAGTGTCAGGCTGCTTGGCGCAGGACGTAACGGAACGCTACTGTTGCCATTGCATTGGCTATACTCGTACATTTCATCCGTGGCATTGTCACCACCGGTAGCTAGTACGCCTGGCGCAGCCACCGATGTGAATTCTAAGCCATCCATGCCACTTGGCTCTGCAATGCTTGTACCTTCAGGATCAGACGGGCAAAATACTGAGGATGAGCACAGAGGCGACGGCGGTTCCGTAGATACCTCTTGCGGTGTCACAGGAGTCCCAATAGAGCCAAAATTGCCCTCAATCGCTATACGTTCATCCACGCGCGTAATCTGGTCATCATCAAACTTGAACCAATCCGTACTTGTAGCAGTGTGCTTCCCAGGTCGAATAAATACGTAGTAATGACCGCCGTGCACATCGCCACTGTGCACCAACACGCTATGGAGGTGATAAATATACCGTGGGGATTTCTCGTGGCTGTCATCGCTTACTGTTTTGCTACTGCCACGGATGAACTCATCGAGCACAAGTGTTTTCGGAAACTCAAAGCGATCGTGGACCTTGACCATGCCATCGCGCATGGCGTCGTACTCGAAGCGCTTCAGCTGGATATTGAGCACAGGTGGAAACGAGGCAAACTCAATACCCTTCTTGGCATCCTGTTTCCCATGTCCTTCAGCGTCGTACTGATTGTCACCGTCCAGCATTTCCACTTCCACATACTTGCGAAAGGACTGCATCAAGTCTTTACAGCCCTTCACGTCCAGCTGCAAGTCATAAAAGCTCTCGTCACGAAACGACTGAAAGTCAACATTCACACACTGCACAAATGACCGCACTTTGCCTTCGAAAAGCTTCGATATTGCCGAGTCCACTCTCGTGTGCTTCATCTTTTCCTCTAACCGATCGCACAAAATCCGGTACAACTCTTGTACGTCATGCTGCATGAACGAGTCAATTGCACTCCATCCAAACGAACGCGTCAGCTCCTTCGTCGACACTGCCCTTTGTTGTCGCTGTAATCGGTAAAACACACGCTGCAGTGCCAATGACACAGAATCATTTGTATCTTCCTGAGCCGTGGGCGTTTCATACACCACTTGCCGAAACGCTTGCAAGTGGAACAGCGTCTGCAGCAAAGAGTTCAAGTAGCACGTGGCTCCCTGATTCTTCAAGCCCACCATCCCTGTCTCCTCTTTCGAGTCATACGCTTGCAACTCCTGCATCGACTTTGACTCGTTTGTCCAGGCTTCACCTTGACAAGACGACATGATTGACGCGGGTGTGTCTCTCTGAATCTCCGCTTCAACATCTGCTACAAACGTCAACTGCACTTCAATCTCTACTTTTCCATCAGCTGTCAAGAAATGATTGCTCGGATTCAGCAAGTCACTGCGTAAACAAAACTGACTCATGCCAAAGATCGGCGTGCCCTTGGAAAACGCGTGCACGCTCGTGTGCTTCACGACTGACGCAAGACCTCCTTGATGCACGAGCACGATGCCAATCTCCGCTAATCGTGACGATACGTTTTGGTGCTCTCGGGCGTCGAGAACGAGCTCTACAAACACACCGACAAACGATTGGTCCGTGAGGCTTCGAGGCTGCCAAATGACTCGCCACGGCGCGCCTTGCGCGTCATGTTTCACCGACGTCACGATGTGTTCATTGTCGAGGTCCAGCACGTGAAACGTGCCGTGGAAAACGAGCATTGGCGGTGGCTCTGCGGCGGAAAGAAACGCTCTTGAGGACGGGGACGTCGACGTTGACGTCGGGTACGCAGCAAGCGACGGAGACTGGTGCTCAGCACTGCATCTGGTGGGGGACACAGTGATGTCTGGGGACGGGACAGTGCGGTCCGATCGCGTCGTCCGTCGCTTGCGCCGCTGGACGTCGCGCAGCGAGTCGCCGACTGCACTCGGGCGCTTCTCGACCATGATATGTGGACTGGACAGGGGATGAGTGGCGTGGATTGTCGATGGTTGGATGATAATAGTCGTGTCGATGGTGTTTTGACCAATCAAGATGAGGCGCTCGTGAGTCTGCCGGAGCTGCGAGAATGAATACTTGTGGTTGGAAGCAGCGTGGTATGTGCGACACGTCAGGACGAGGGGACACGGACGATTCCGAATCTTGAGATGGATGGCCAGCTGACTTTATGGGGCATAGGACTGCCTGACCTCCACTTCCTTGAGCTTCTTGAGGGTTGAGCTGGTCGGCACGAATCGAGTGGGTCTTGTTTGTGTGTATTCGCTTTTCTTACGCCGAATGTATTCTTCGGTTTACTTGGCACTGGCCGTCTCGTACAAGCGTCACTCGGCTTGGGCAGTGTTGGGCTCAAGATGCCCAAAAAGGGTCCGAGCTTCGGTAGCTACAGCAAAACCACCTTGGCGTTTCCGGTCGCAGACTTGACCATCTTCTGCTGGCCTTTGCTGTCATGTTGGAGTCCATGGCCTCCTTTTTGCGTCAGCACGGCCGAAACAATCGCGCCGAACACGCGGAGTTCATGACGACACAAGAAGACCTGGTGAACTCGACCAGAGGCCCGAAAGACGCTCATCTGCATCGCCTCGAACGCTCTCGTCGTGTAGTCTCGCAGCCGAGCTGAGAGCGAATAGAAGAGAACGGACTGAGCGTCATCTACTGCGACGTTTGTGTCCTCGTTTTGTTTACTGCCGCAGCTCTTCCCGTTCTCCCAGCACCTCAATTGAGCACGAGCCAGCCGGAAATCACGTGATTCGTCTATGCAGAAAAGCAGCTGGTTGCGTACGCGTCGCATCTTGCTGTCCTTGCTAAGAGCGAGCGAGACCCGTATCGAAACGATGTTCGGTATCTGCAGCCACACAACATGCTTCTCTGACCAAGAAGGGGCTGACGCATGATGATCGAGATCAGTTTATCGTGCAGTTGCAGTCGAACGGCAAGACCTTCAGCTCGACGCGGCAGCTGCCGAGGACGGCTCAGCCTGTTAATGGCAGCTTCGTATCGTCGGGCTCTGGGTACAATCGACGCGCAATCATCATGTCCCAGCTCGAGACAGCGCCAACTATACCGACATGCATACGTCCGATCGCCAGTGCTCGGGCGCTGTCACTTGCACCAAGACGTGCGGCCTCACACTCTACTTCTTTCACGAACAGGGAAGCACCACTGCATGACACGCCCACGTCGATGGCAGAGCTACTGAAGATTCTCCGCCAACTGCCTGTCACTTGATTCCAGAAGCTGTGTCCGCCTCTTCTTTCAGACGCTTTAGCACTTGGTCGAGCACCCTCGTGTCAATTCCTTCGCGCGAGTGATTCCACGCACTGCGAGGGACGGTGCAAAGCCTGGAAACAATCCTCGCCCACAATCCAACTGCTGGGTGCAAGAATGCAGCGGACAATGATTGAGCTGCTCCTGGTGGTGGCCGGTTTTTAATCGCACGGGGTCATAAAATACCGTCTCGTCCTGTCGTAGACAGCTTACAAAGCGCAATATAAACTCGCATCCGCCCAGCTCCAGTTCCAGGTGGACAATCTATGCACACTAACAGCACGCATAAATTCGGTTGACAGACAGCGCGAAGCGAAATAGCTTCGGCGCGACGCGTGTGTCGCCCCTGACCATCTCCTCGCTACGTGCAGGGCACTGACGTGTAGCAAAGATGCAGACGATGCGTGTGCTACCGTTTTCATTGCTAGAAACGATCGGATAGTGGAGAAAGAAGCGATTGTTGCTCGACACGTACAGTGCATTGGTGACCTGTATATTCGAATAAGACGCAACAACAGCGCTCATGTCTTCCTTTTTTCGACAAAGTTGGAGACGGAAGCGCTGTCACAACAGTCGCAGCAGTGGCACCGAAACGATCGACAAGTAGAGAGACAACGTCGCGATGTCTCGTATGTAACTGCACGGACAGTAGTGACGAGCACGGCACCGACCGGTCTTGTATCTAATCAGACAGACAGAACATCGTTGCTTCTTGCGACCGTGTTCTGTTTGTAGTCGCAGCTACAGACCTGCTTTTGGCACAAATGGGTGATCTTCCAAAGCGGCAGTCCAGGCAAACTATAAATACACGACGTTACCCATTGGCTGAGTAGTTTGGTGAGAATTTACATATGTAGGTGCGCAGCTGTGCATAGCCAGTCGGACATATTTCGGCGTCTGCTTGGTCGCACTCTCGTATTCGCCGCGGCGTAAAGAACAACACGTCGACAGGTCGTTCCAGTTCCAGTCACGTCCCAAAGCCTCGTTGACAATGGACTGGGACCCCATGGCTACCGACACAGATGGCTATATCTGTCCACCGTGCCCAGTGTTCTATCCCACAGCGATGGAGTTTGAACACCCGCTGAAATATATTTCCAGGTACGGTAATTTATTTGCACGTCTCCTTCTTGTTCTTCCTCTTAGCTTCCGACTCGATTCGCCACAGAGCTTCATGGGATGTCGTTCCCTATGGAGTGTAAGTAGTGTGCGTGTGTGGAAAGAAAGGACAGCGCACAGGACCGTCGATGTGTGACGGTTGACGTTGAGTTGATGTCAACGGACGTGACGTCCCTCTGGCTAAATAAAACGAGGGGCTCATGACGCTTCCGACAGCAGTCAGCTGAGTATCGTAAAAATCGAGACAGCGATGCCAATGCTCATGAGCTGAGGAGATGGACTGGAAGCAGCAATGCAGGAGAGAGTGAGCCAGAGAGCTGACTTGTTGTGTTCTATGTCCTCGTGTCGTGCGTATGTGTCGTTAGTATTCGCCATATTGGGATGCAAGCTGGCATTTGCAAGATTGTGCCGCCGAAAGGTTGGCGACCGCCGTTTGCCATCAATGAAAAGACCTTTCGCTTTCGGACACGCGTGCAGCAGCTGAATTGCATTGAAGGGCATTCACGTGCAGAAGGCCAGTTTGTAGAAGCCCTGCGACTCTTTTTGTACCAACGAGGGGAACCCATGAAGGAACTGCCGCGTGCTGACGGGCAGTTGGTCAACCTGCATCTACTGTATAAGACGGTGATTTCGCTTGGAGGGTTCAATGCGGTGTGTGCAAGTGATAGGTGGGATCAGGTGGTGCGTCGAGTCGGTCGCACAAAAGCGTCAAGCGAGCCTTCTGCAGAGCTGTGCTGCACGTACAAAACGTATTACAAGACGCTGTTGCTCTGCTATGAGAAGGAACAGGAAGCTAAGGAAAAGGGTGGCAATAGCGGTGGCGCACTGGAAAATAAAGTGAAGGTCAAGGTTGAAGGGCTAGCGGCAACGCCTTCCGGAACAAACATGTCTGACGACACAAAAGTGACACCATTATCTAAGCCTCGAAGTCTTAGCGGAACGAAATGTTCTACATCCGCAAATGGCCACGAAAGTGAGACACGAGATGACGATGATATGCTTGTGAAGCGTACGCTATTTCTGGAGGGAGAACACACAAGCAGCGAAGAGAGTGACAGCCACCCAGCCACGTCGCCAAAGCCTGAAAATGAGCAACTAGAACACGGGCGACAGACTCTGCACCGAGACCTTGGGCCCGAATCGTTGAAGCCGTCGAGTACGCGCAACGTGAGACTTGGTCCTCCGGAAATTCGTGTCGGGCAAAAGTTCTTCCGGTTCTTTCCCGATTCAGGAGCCGTGTTGACTGAGGTCAAGCGTGTCTTTGGCGGGAAGAAGCCGCACGTTGCTGTGCGTTACTTGGACAGTGACTCAAACGACGATATTGAAATGTCTAGTATGGAAATTCTGATCGCTAATGGCTGGGACGCACGTGCTGCGGAGCTTGCGTACAATAGTGATATCTGTCAGGTTTGTTTGCGTGGCGATTGCTGGAACCGAATGCTGCTTTGCGACGGCTGTAACAGTGGACAGCATCTCTTCTGTCTGGAGAACCCGTTGCCTGCGGTGCCCACCGGTGACTGGTATTGCAAGGAATGCGTACGAGATGCAACGGATCCGAATAAACGCAAGGCGAACGCCAAGTTTGGTTTTGACATGGGAGCAGAGATTAGTATGATAGACTACAAGGAACGTGCCGACGTTTGGAAACGAAAGTACTTCTCGTTGCCGTCTGATGTCGATCCGGACGAAGCGATTAGCCCCCGAGAATTAGAAGCTGAGTACTGGAAATTGCTCAGCGTTCCTGTTCACGAACAGCGACTTGAGGTGCAGTATGGCAGCGATGTTGACACAGGTTCTACCGGCGGCGGCTTTCCTCGTATGGATTTGTACATGAAGAACTTCCGCACTGTGTCAAAGCGCTGGAAGAATCTAACGACCCAGGCAAAGAGTGACTACGCTCGTCAACTCAGTGAGTTTTTTTCCCACGGGTTGCGTGAAGGTCTATCAACAAAAGCTGGAGGAAATAATCAGAACGCTGACGCTGCTCAGTCGCTCGAGGATTTACTGCATCGATACGCGCAGGACGACTGGAACCTGAACAACATGCCCAAATTGCCCGGGTCAGTGCTTCAGCACTTGGACGAGGACATAAAAGGTGTCATGGTTCCGTGGTTGTATGCAGGAATGTGCTTCTCCACTTTTTGTTGGCACGTGGAGGACCATAATTTCTACAGCACTAGCTATTTGCACTGCGGCGCACCAAAGACATGGTACGGTATCCCGTGCGCGAGCGCTGAGCATTTCGAACGCACCATGAAGAAACTCACACCGGAGCTTTTCGGTAGTCAGCCAGATCTGCATATGCAGCTGGTCACGATGTTTTCGCCTAAAGCGTTGCGAGAACACGGCGTACCTGTATATCGCGCGACGCACCGCCCGAATGAGTTCATTGTCACTTTTCCGTCGGCGTACCATGCTGGTTTCAACACTGGTTTCAATTGTGCTGAAGCGGTGAATTTTGCAACTGTGGACTGGTTGCCGTGGGGTGCAAAGTCGTTGCGAAAGTATCGGGAGTTTCGCAAGCTGCCTGTGTTTTGCCATGAAGCACTGGTATGTACTCTGGCTGAAAGCGTTGTAGACGGCAGCAGCTTTGAGTTTGAAAACACCGAGTCGTTTTTGCTTCCAGCGGTAGAGCAGTTGCTGCAGAATTATCTCGAGTTTCAGCGGCGAGTGGATGAATCGGATAGCGCGATGTATGTGGCGAAGCGAAAGCTCATTGCCGATTTTGAAAAGCAGGAGTATCGAGGGGCTGGCGTGACTAGTACTGAAGTTTCGGCATCTTCAATGAGACGTGGAATGGCAGCTCGAGCATGTAACCGACCTTCAAAGATGGGAGGGGCTGTTTTGGCGCGGGGCAAGCGAGGTTCTAAAATGAGGATGGAAAGCCCCGAGACATCCATGCGCTCTACTAGGATGGTGCTGTGGGCGGGTCGTTCGGGTAAGAACGAGGGTCTTCGGTGCGTAACTTGCAAACAGTACTGCTATCTCCAAGCTGTCGTGTGCACGAGGTGCCGCGCGCCGCACGGAAGTAGTAGCGGTGCCGTTATAGGTTGTTTGGAGCACTACCCTACAATGTGCAAATGCCGGGATCCAGGGAATTTTGTGTATTTGTATCGCTACGAGGCTACTCGTCTCGAAGACATGGTGGACAACTTGCGAAGACGACTAAACAGCGTCCGAGCATGGAACAGAGCGTGTGACGCCGTGATGCAGTATCGCAAACGATTGGCTGACAGTTCATTTGCAGCTGAGGTAACATTGTCCGACCTAAAGCGATTGCTCTCGTGTGGCAAGTCTTGCGGTGGTGCAGATTGCAAACGATTGGATGCATTGGAACGTGCGATTGCGTGCGTTGAGCACTGGGACGCGCAAGCTGTACAGTTGCTTATGGCCCTCGATCCGCAAAAGCAGGTGCACTTGAGTCTTGACGAGTTTGAGTCATTGTTGACGGATGCGAAGAAGTTGCTTGTTGAGCCCGCCACAGTTGCAAAGATTCGAGACATCGTGAACGAGTGGCGCACGATTCGAACCGACGCTGCGATGATGCTCAAATCGATAAACGATATATTTCGCGACGAGGTTGCGAAGAAAATTCGGCCAAGAGCTTCGTCCACAGACGTTGCATCGATTGTTCGGCTGATGGGCGCCCCTAACGTGTTGCTTCACGGCAATGTGCACTTTGGTCAGCTTTGCACGGCTATCGCCGATGTGAGCGGCTGCTTGCGTGCAAAGAAAGAAAACGATGCAGCCGGGAGCTTGTGCAGCCAGCTTTCCAGCGCTCAGCAATACTTGGAAGTGCTTTGCAAGGTGAACGTACTCTCTGCCAGCATTGTCGAGAGGGCCCAAGGGAGTGACGCTATGGGGGCACCGACGCAAGCACAAGTTGAACGAGTGTTGGATGAGGTGAAGGAATTGCGGTTAGCAAGCCCGTATGGGATAGCGAATGCCGAGGCGTTGCGGAAGCTTATTGCATCTACTCACGTTGAGGCAGCAGAGGTAGACGGAGCACTAAGTGACCGCTCGAAAAGCACGGAAGAGCTGGAGGTGCTGCTCCGACGGGCGACCGCGTTACCCATTCCGCCACATAATGCAGAGGCACTCCAAGAGCGACTTGAGAAATGCCGGGGATGGGAGAGCCGCGCTAAACAAGTGATGGCGGTCGTCTCTGGCGCCTCCTCTTCCCACGGTCATAAGTCAATGATGGAGCGCCCTTCCGTTGACGAGGTTGAGGAACTGTTCGCGCAAGCTGATGCTCATTTTGTGCCGAGTTCATCTCTACTGCGGCGACAGCTGCACTCGCGTTTGCAAGACTGCCGTCGCTGGTACGACGCTGTTCACGCGCTGTTCCTGCGTCCGTCGAACAGTCACCTGTCTTTGGCTCAGTTCTTGCAGACTGCGCTGAAAATGGTACAGCAGCAGCTCGCGCATAGTCCGGACCAGGCTTTGCATTTGCATTCGCAGCTGTATTGCGTCTGCAAGCAGATCCTCAGCGAGCGAGCTCAAGTCGTGACTTGCCAACGCTGTCAGCGCTACTACCATCCTCAGTGCGTGCCGGACTTGGTGCCTCGGCATCCGAAAGAGGCCTTCGTTTGCGGGACGTGTCGTCCTTCTCAGCGAAAACGTCATGGCCCGAGGGATACCGAGTCGCCCCAGATCTTCTGCGTGTGCCGCGGCGTCGATCAAGCTCCGATGATCTGCTGTGACTTTTGTGACGAATGGTACCACGCAGCATGCGTAGACCTCATGCCGCAGGAGCTCGACCACATCGATGCATTCCGCTGTCCTCGCTGCTCGCGTCGACAGAACCTCTACTACCTCGATAAGAAGCTGCTGCGTCGCGAGTGTCTGGGCAGACGACCAGCACTCGCTAGGGTCGAGAGCTTTTTGGTGCAGATGCAGACCCAATTGGTGGCGTGTCCTCCAGGAGCACATGAACTCATAGCTTATGTGCAGGCTGTGAAGGGCGTGGAGCGCGAAGTCAGCATCTTTGCCCACAAGTTTGCGCTGCGAGAGTTTTCACCCAGTGCGTTTGCCACGCCCAACTACGTGCAGAGTCAAGAAGCTGGAGTCATTCAGCTCATGGAGCGCGTGACGGGCCTGGAAGTTGGGCTGGAGACGGCGCAGACTCAGTTAGGCGCTGTGCACTGGTGCTTGCGGGCGTGTGAACTCGTGTTGGGTCCGAACAATCGCGCTCCGCGGTACGCACACTTGGCTGCGTTATTGCAAGACGTGAAGAGCCAGGAGCCTGGTTTCACATTTCCCCGTGAAGAGTATCGGTTGATGCAGCTGACCATTGCAGAACGAGTGAGTAAGGTTGCGCAGTGGCTACGTGCGACAAAGGCGCTAGAGATTGAAGAGTGGAATATCGAGAAGGCCCGTCGGCTCGAACGCGATGCTGCTGAGCTGGGCGCTTACCTGGAACTGCCAGCGACGGAACTGCAGTTTGTCCATGAGATTGCAGCTCGCCAGGCGATAAAAGTTGTTGCGTGTGCAGAGGAAGATGAGGAAGAAGAAGAGGAGGAGGCGGTGTATGAAGAAGAACTAGAAAGCCCAAGTGCTATGGCGTGGAAGAAGCAGCGACGTTAGCATCGTGGAAGATTGACCAACTGACAAAGTAAACTTTTTTTCTGTAGAACGCGCGCGGCATGCACACGGTTTGTTGACGACGCGTTTGCAAGTGTGTCTTTTCCGCTACTTGGTCGTCGTTGTCGCAGACTTCTGCTTGAGCTCTTCCCAAAGTGCTGGAGGGAACTGCTCGAGAACGCGCTTGCGCATGCCAGTCTCTGTGTCCGTATGAATCTCACGAAAATCTTCTTGGCCATGGTCGAGCTCAGTGAGTACGCGCGGAGCAGCAGTGTCTCGAGTATGTGGCAACTCGTCCTTGTTGGATGCCACAAACCGCACTTCTTCCTCCTCCATCTCTTGGTGAACCGCCACTTCGACTTGATCCTGCAGCTCCGCGAAGATCTACGAGCGAATGCAACACACGGACACACACACGGGTTAGTCGTAGCGTTGCAGTCGCGCACACTCACTTGGACAGTGCTGGTCGTGCCTCCCATTTCGGAAAGTTCTTGACCACCTGTCGAAACAAACCGGCAGCATCACGTGTCAGCACTTGAGCTGTAGTAAACCACTACAGCACCGTAGTCAACGCAGAAAAAAAGCACAAACATGGACGCACGCTGAAGTAGGTGTGATCGGGTGCGTCCTGGTACCTCTCGGTCGTGGGCAAGTTGAAGCTGAATGGCTTGTCCGAAGCGTAAAAGACAAGGTTGGACGCATCGCGCTCGTCGACTTCCTCCATCTCGCGATAGCACTTGACGTACTTGAACACACTCTGCAACGTGCGGTAGATGGACTTGGGGACCACTGCATGAGGACCGTGCACGTACCCGACAAAGTTCATAACGAGGACGCCGTTTAGCGTCAACCAGTTCTCACGGACTTGGAGCATCTTTTCACGGACGAAAAAAGCAAACGGGTTCCAGCCCGTGTACACGTCCACGATAAAGAGGTCGTACGGACGCTCGTGGGTTGTCCCTCCTATGATCTGCGACGGCGTACTGGATACGAACTTCAACCCGTCCATCACAAAGGTGCGGCCACTGCGGCACGTTTCGTCGTCGTCGTCATTATCATCATCATCATCGTCGTCCTCATCGCGTGCGTCATCACGTCCATCGTGTTGACGCCAACAGTATTCGTACTGAAAGTAATCCGTCGCTTGGGTCACCACTGCACGGCTAATCTCCACAACGTCTGTAAGAAGCAGGATAGCGAGCACACATTTGTCGTCAGATTCAGTATACCAAAACGAATAGCAACAGCCTGCGAGGGCCGTCGAACCTGTTGGGATCGCCATTGCGCGCAAAAACGTCGGGACGGACCCGATGCCAAGTCCAATCTGCACGGCGCGCGTGGGCTTATCCTGCAAATAAGCTGCACACTGCATGATCGCAAAGCCGGGAAACACCGTCTGGTCGCGCACAGTCGGGTGATCGAACTCGGCCCCAATGACCGTTTCGTCGTAGAGCAGATACAAGAGCTCATTGCGCCGCACGACCGCAACGACAGCGTCACCTTCGTCCATCCGACGCACGACCGTGTAGCGGTCGTGCGTCGCAGGCGCGTGGTACCCCTCGAGCGGCTGCCACGCGACGGCCACCAGCAGCAGCGACAGGATAAGCGGCTGCATACCTCCTAGGGGCTAGGTCTAACAATCTACGACCCTGCTTATCGATCGGTCTCTATCGAAAGGGACGCCATCTCGCGCAAGTGACTCGACGCGCCCCACGCACTGAAGTAGCACCACCACACGTGCCCCACCACTAACGCAACTGACGCAACTGCCGCAACTTTTGATTACAGGACACGACACACTAAAGCTGCATCTGCCCCAAGTGGCTGTCCGACGCCGCGAAGAGCTCTAAATTAAACATATCGTGCAACGCGCGGGCGCTCACGACGGCACTCGCGCGCGGGGCGGCCGCTGCTGCTGCTGCTGCTGCTGTGGCCACAGGCACCGCCACTGCCGCCGTCTCATTGGTCGCTGTCGTCGCTGTCGTCGCTGTCGCCGGTGCTCGACACGCAGCGTAGGGCTTAATCATACTGCCCATGTGGCTGCCGACGCCACTGCTGTCCATCGCCGGCGGCGGCAGCGGCTGCCGCGTCGAGTTGAACACGTTGTAGTGCGACTGCGACCGCACGCTCGCGGCCAGACCGTTGGCGTCGTCGTAGAGCAGCGCACTGCTGGGCCGGAGCATGGGGTGCGCCGCCACGGCGTCGGCCGCCACGAGCTCGTGCTGCGCCATGCGCACGAGCCGCACGACGTGCGCGTAGCAGACGGTCGTGCCCTCGAGCTCGAACAGGAGCTTGGCGACGCTGTTGAAGCGGAAGCGCGGGAGCGCGTAGCCAAAGGCCGCGAGCACGTCGCGCAGGGCGTCGACTTCGATGAAGCCGCTGTCGGAGCGGTCGCGGGCGCGGAGCTCGAGGTCCAAGTCGGTGATTGCAAACTCCTGTTGCGTCAGGTGGTGCAGCAGCGACGCGGCGAATTCCGTGCGCAGGCGCACGACGTCGCGGAAGTTTTCGATCACGTCGCTCAGCGTGTGCGCGTCGACCGCGAGCACGCGACTCACGACGACGTAGTCGTAAAAGATGCGGCGCTGGAGCACAAACGTGTTGAGCACGAGCGGGAGCGGGACCATGGCCGTGGCGAACGAGCCAAAGTCGTGGTACATGTCGTCCATGTCGTAGAACACGCACTGGAAGAAGAGCGTGAGGAGGAAGCCGTTGAGCACGAGCAGGAGCATGACGCCAAGGTGCCACGTTTTGGGCGAGAACGAGCGGATGGCAATGACGGGCGATCCCGGGACGACGCCGCTGAAACTCGCTTGCCGCGTGCGTGGCAGCGCGCTCGCGTCAGTGTGGCCGTCGCGACGATGACGCTGGAGATGCTGCAGACGGCGATGGCACTGACGTTGCAGCGCGAGCTCTTCGTGGTACTCTTGGATACTCCCCATGGTCTCGAGCGCGCGGTCGGCCTCTTCGTTTTGCCACGTCTCGGTCTCTTCGTTGGCAATGGTGCTCAAGTTTGCCGCCAGCGTGTCCTCGTCGTTGCTGAACGCTGCCGCTTGCAGGAGCTGATGGACGCACGACCGCAGGTAAAGGAACACAGCGACTTGCAAGAGCAGGAGCAGCCACGCGAACACGGCAAGGGCCTCGACCAGCTTGTGGCTGTCGTCCATCTCCGTGTGGTACGCCTGAATGATGGCAAGGAGGCCGAGGACCGCCCACGCAACAACGAGCAGCACGGCCCACATGGACGCGTCCACTTCAATCATGTGCGCGATCTGGTTGGCTTGCGCTTGATTGAGGTACTTGGAGAACGGGAAGAGCTGCGGCAGGCCAAAGCGACGGAGAAACAGCCGCCGCAGGAGACGATGTTGGATGAGTTCCCTGGTATTCGCTCGCTGCTGGGCCGCACGGCTGCAGCACCAGAGCGATCCGAAGAACGCAGGCCGCGCGTCGTTCGGGTCTTTGATCGAGTTCACGAGGTCTTGTGTCGTCATGAGCTCGGCGCGCTCGGCGCGATTGTTCCGGCCGTGGAGGAGGAAGAAGACCGCCGTGGACTGCAGCACGAGCGCAAGGGCCAGCAAGAAGATGGTCAGGTCTGCGACTTGGAAGGCCAAGATGGTTTTGCTGTAGCTGTCAAAGCTCGGGACTTCTTTGAGCATCTTGAGCCCGAAACTGATCAAGCCGAGCACCATGAGCTCTCGATACGTCTTCTTGAGCATGTGCTGATACTTTTCCGACGGCGGGAACTTGTGCTCGAGGCGATGCACGGCGCCTTCCAAGAGCACGAGACAGAACGCCAAGATGCTCAAGTTGATCAACACGCGCCAGTACTCGACGTCGTCGCCGACCTCAAAGAGCGACGCGCCGCCCATGTTGACAATTGCAGTGTGCCGTGCTGCCTGATGTCCTTTTTTTCGGTCGAAAGCGGATCGATGGACGTGACAGCCAGCGACAGTACAACAACAGGTGGTGTGTGTATCTCTGTGTATCTCTGTGTATCTGTGAGTATATCTGTATCTAAGACGTGAGTCTCTCTTTTGTTTGTTTGACTTGCACAGGGTCGGGGCCATTTTTGCCGAACAGAGCCACAACACAGTCGGCATATCGGCTCTCGACGCTTGAGACCGTACGTGGTCCGACCGTGTAGTAACGAGTGCTCATCATGGGCTGTGTTGCAATCGGACTATCGCCGCTCGTTGGCTTCTGTCCACACGTTGTTGCTGGGCCTATTGGTCCATCTGTTGCTGCGGGTCCCGGAAAGTCCATGCACCGAGTCGTGCCCCACGACTGCGCCGGCACTTGTGCGAACAGATGTCGCGCGGAACATGTGCCGTCGTCGCGGTGAGCGGTTATGGTCCACCCGTCTCGTCGACTCGTTCGTGGCGTTTGAAGGTTACGACTGAAGAGACGCTGCGAGAGACCCGACGCGAGGAGCGACGGTCGCGCTTTGCTGTTGCGACCGCAGCGCAGTAACGCCACTGTCTGCTCTCACTACGCACACTGTGTGAACGCATGCAGCAGGTACAGTAGTAGTAGTACGCGTCCGTGTGGAGCAGAGCGCGCGTCCTCATGGCCGCACGTCGCACGTGGCGGTCATTTGTTGATTGGTTCGGCTTTACACGCAGGTGCGCTTCCCGAGTCGTATTGGCATGGGCCACGTCCGGCGTGTTCCTGCAAGTTCTGCCCATCACGCAGCAGGAGCAAAGCTCAGGAGCAGAGACACGACGTCAACGTGTTCGTGGAGGTCCTGGACATCGCCCGGTGTGTCGTCTGGTCGAGTGAATCACTTTGTACCGGTCATGACCCCCACACACGCACACACACACCGCACTCTATCTGACGTCTCACCAACAAAGCGCGTCGCTGTGCGTCGTCGTGCATTTATATGCGTACTGTCGTGAATGCTGTGTCGCCTTCTTGGCGCTTTCTGACCCATGTGCGACTTTGCGCTTCGTTGTGCCTTCAGCAAACTGCAGTAGACGCGTCTGATGGCCACGTGGGGTGTAAGTCTGAGCGCTCACTGGATGAGACGGACTCGTAGTCGTGAGCAGTTCCGTTCGTCTCACTCCGTCGCTCGAGCTGCCACGTCCGATCGACTCGGTGGACCACAGCGAGTGCACAAGCAGCTCGCACGCTATCGTAGCTCATAGACCATATGAGCATTCGCTGGCTTGTACGATGTTGAAGTGCTGGTACGAGCCGAGCGAGTGCTGTTGCTGCCAAAGCCTCTCATCCATCCACACCTGCGTCAAGCCAACGTCTCCATCAATCTCCGCATCACTCGCCAAGTCGAAACCCGTCAATGCACGCGCAGGTATACCCATCGCGCATAGTTGGCGGGCAGTGAGATGACAGATGCGTTGGTCATGTGTGCTCTGCGACAATGCGCCGGTCGGACCTTGTCCCGCATCTTCACTTCTGCTTCGCTGTACTGCGATCGATACAGACAGTGCAGCCACCAGACGCAGCGGACGACGAGCCAAACGGTCCCGTCGACGCCATCGTCGCATTTCTCGTATCTTCCGCCCGCGCGACAAGTAGTCGACTCGAGCGCAATGGCGGACCCAACAACAGCAATAGCAGCAACAGCAGCAACAACGTGTGTGGTATATCCCCACGAACTTCAAACCCTCGTGCCCCACGACTGTGCCGTCTTTCTGACGGTCGAAACCGGTGAACAAGTGGAGCTGCCACCTGCACTGCAACGCCACCAGCTCCACCCGAGTCTGCAGTTCCAGTTGGAGCCCTATCGTCGCTGGAACGCCACTCCTGCGCTCGGCTTCCTCCATAGCATCGACCGCGTTGACGTCTGCGGCACTACACGTGCAAACAAAGACGACGACGGCGAGCCGTTCACACTGGCGGTTCACCTGCGTCTCCCTCGTTCACGACTCCCTACGAGTCCATGCAACGCAAAAGCTGACGCACGGCACTCGCATCGCATGCGCCGTAAAGGCCAACCGACCTTTACCGTTGAACGGAGCTTTGCCGAGTTCCAAGCGCTCCGCACCCACGTGCTGCAAGCCGTGTGCGCCATCCCCCAGTGTACGTGTGCGTACTGCCTGGACTTTGTCCTGTACATTCGCTTCAAGTACAGCCAGCCCCGTCGTCTTGCCACGCTCCTGTCTGGCAATGAAAAGCGCAAGCAGATGCTCGCGCGATGGCTCGAAGATCTTGTCACGATGGGTCAGCGTCGAGCTCCGACGCCTGGGCGGCGCAAATGCCAGGCCCAGCGTCGAGTCCCTGCTATCTTGCAAGCCTTCCTGCTCAACACGAAAGCAGTGTACGTGGCAAGCACGAAGTGAGCACGAACGAACGTCCATCGATACACCACAAGTGGTTGTGCATTATTGAGTACGTACGCCGCTACGTTCGGGAGATCACTCGCAGACGACCGACGTGATGGGGACATAGTCCTCGTCAAAGGCCGTCGCGACCTCTGCCGGGCGGAGTGCCACGACGTCACCTGCACGCACCTTCGGGACAGCTGCAAGCGGGTCAAAAGCTCCCGGTAGCGCGATCTCTTGCGGGAACGCGTCGGTCACGAACACGTCGCGGTCGGCACTCAAGTGGGCAACGTGGCCGAACCAGTAGATCACCATCCCAGGCCCAAAGCGGTTCACGTACCCCTGCAACTGCAGCCACACGACAGCAAAATGAGTGCAACGTCAGCAGCAACAGCTCTACGACGTCGTTGCCACTCCCCACCTGACTCGCATTCTCCGTGTCGTGTGTGTACCGGTCGCCGAACATGGCTTTGCTGTCGATCCAGTGGACCACATGTAGTCGCTCGCCGTCCGCCGCGTCTTTCACGCCAATCGGCAGCAACAGCCGCACGTCCGGTGTCTTGGACAGCCCCTTGGCCCGCAACGTGGCTTCGCTCTCGAACACGAGCTGCCGAGTCCGCAGCGTCATCAACAGCACGTCTTCGTACTCTTGACCGACGCTGTGGCGCACGCGGTCGGCCAGTGGCGAGCAGTACGCGTCGGCCTCCACGCACTCTCGAAGCTGCAGGCACAGAAAAGCGCGCACAGTGTAAGTAGTTCCCATCAACGACAATGCATTAGCTCCGCATGGACCGACCACTTGCCGTCCACTCCATTGCTGCTGCTGCGGCGGCTGCTGCTACTTCGACTACGACTACTTCAACTGGAAAAAGTGGTGGGCTGCACCTCAGGTATCACTTGGGCATAGTCGGCTTTCGACACGAAACTGCCCGTCGTCGCCCGTAAGTCCCCATCAGTGCCCTCTTCTTCTTCTTCTCCTCTCTCCTCCTCCTCCGCCTCCTCCTCTTCTTCTCTCATCGCCTCTTTAAACAGACGCGAGATCGTCGCCTTACTCCACTGGTACTTTGCCTTCAACAACACACGCGCCAACATACACGGGGAAAACGCGACGGACAAAGCAATGGCACAAATGGATTCGCCCGCGTCTCGACGGGCGATGTAATGCGCCACCTTTTGGTCCTGGCCGTGACGACGCAGCTCCGCGCGCAAGTGGCGATGGCGGAGCTGCCGCTGAATGACCGCAAACTGCTCTTCGGTCACTGAGGCGCAAAGGGGCGACGACGTGTCGGGTGCGGGATACGCAGCGAGCGAACAGATGCGGTCGTACTCGTGGTCGTCCATGTTTTGTAAGTGCAGGCGTGTTGTTTATGGCAAAAAAAGCCTCATCGTGACCACAATTAGCAGTGGGGGGTGGGATGTGGTGGGTGGATATGGTGGGTGGGATGATGTGGGTGATACGATGTGGGTGGAATGATGTGGGTGGGATGATGTGGGTACAAAGGGTCAGTGTTGGGTTGATTAAATTAGAGGGGCTTCCCTACCTACCTACCTACCTACATGTATACATGGCTACGGATGGACACCTACCGCCCGCAGTGCTTCGTCTAGCAGCAGCACCACGACTACGACTAACGTCGACCGTCGATTTCGTATCGATCGTCCAGTAGATCACACCTGAGCGTGCACCTACATCTCGGCATACACGTCCAGTCTATCCTCGGGACTCGGTCTCGTCAATCGCGTCCATCCTCTGTCAGTCCCGCAGAAACGACTCGAGCAGCGCCGGCACGTGGTGATGCGCTTCGCATCGCCGCAGTGTGTTTTTCGCCGAGTTCTGCGCGAGGTCGACAAAGTCCGTCATGAACTCCTGGAGAATCGCCTGCCGCTTCTTGACGCCCGTGCGAAACGCCACGAGCCGTCGCGGCTGGTGGAGCTTGAACCGAATGTAGCGGTTGTACGCGTGGCAGTAGGGGCACACAAAGTGCGCGTTGGGACACGTCCAGAGCTTGACTTGGTGGCGCAGCTTGGCAAAGTCCGAGTACCGGCGCTCGACGCGAAAGTCCGGCTCGCTGCGAAGCGGCGGGTCGCTCAGGTCCGACAAGCGCGGGATCGAGCGCCGCGGGTTGTTCATGTTGGTCGGCAGCCGCGAGTCCGAGTGGAACTGGTAGACTTGCACGACGTAGTACGTCGCGCCATTGCGCTCGACCGCCTCGTTGATCACGAGGCGCTCAATGTTGCTCAAGAAAGTCAGCGAGAAGGACGCAGTGGACCAGCGCAGGGGCTCGACGACCACAGGTGTGAGCGGCGGAGCTTTCGTGTTCACGGGTTCTTTGCTGTCAGAAGACGTGCGCAGGAGACGGGGGATCAGTTGCAGCGACGCGTGGTCGTCGGTCGTATCGATTGCAAGCGGTGCCATGGGGTACGAGGGCCACGAGCGCGTGAGGGAGTGAGTGAGGGAGTGAGTGAGAGGGCGACAACAAGCAGAACCAAACGGCAGCGGGCGGTCGAGCAGTGGGTTTCGCTGTTGGACGGCGAGTTTTCGAATGGCGAGCGACGGCCGCCGCCCGCGCGCGCGCGCACAGTAGTGCACTTGTCCCGAGTGAACAAAAAACGAGCGAGACGGGCGACGTACGGCAGGAGGAATGACGACGGCGAAGCGATTGCGGCGACTTGGAGCGACGGGGGATGGCATAATCAGCGATTAGGGCGGGGCGCGCCCACACCGACCAATCGTCGGCCAGGGGCGAGGGCTCATTGGTAAGACGAGCGAGCGAACGGGCGGCAGCGTCTTTGGCTCGCACGGGCGAGTGGGGAGGGTGCGACCCGTCTGTTTCGTGCCCATCTGCATCCTCGCATCGCGCTCTGGCTGCCTCGATTGCGCGCGGGGGCAGAAAGACTGGGACATAGCTACGGCATGCACACACACAGAGACAGAGACAGAGACAGACAGACAGACAGACAGACAGACAGACAGACAGACAAGACAGACACTGAGCCACACGTGACAAGCTCTTTGTATTCGTAAGCTGCCACGCGTGACAGGCTGTATGGTTGTTGACCGATCGGTCGTCGAAGGGCACGCGCTGGCCAAGTGCTGCCCGTTTGTTTGTTCCGCAGGCAGTGTGGCTGATACTACTGGGCAACGAGCCCCAAGAGATACAGATCGCTTGACTTGCGAACACAGACTCGTGTGAAGCCACGTACGTGATGGCAATCAGCGGATGACCGATTGCCAGCAGCTATGATTCCGTTGCCATCGAGCCAGCCAGCCAGCCAGTTAACAACAGCCTTCCGAGGCAATCACGGGCTATCGACCAAAGGCGCGCGACCTGGCGATATGATTAGCTTTATGCCCCCCAAAAGCAACAGGTTAGGGGAGGGACCTTACTAGACGGCAGCTGAGTGCAGTCGTAGTTTTCCTGTCGCTGCAATGCTTGGAAAAAGTCGCCCAGATAGGGGAACATGTCGCGAATGGATGCAAAGCTTACGCCCGCTCTGCGAGAGATGTACATGCTACGAGTCGGCGATTTGGATCCGTGTTCTATCTCGGCGAACCAGAGCCTGACCACACGAAAGTCTAGCGATCGAGCTCCGAGCGTCCGTTTGTCTTACCACGATCGAATGAAGCAAGATTTTCTGCCACGTGGTACCACCACCTTACAGATTACGGCTCTCTCTCTCTCTCTAGAAAGTTCCGTCTCCGTCACGACACGGAGAAGAAGCAGCAGCTGATATCGAACTTGTGGTCGTCTTCCATGTCGCCAACGACTGACGAACGACAGGTCGGTGTGATTGACATTGTCAGTGAAAGTAATGCAGCCAGCGATGGGACTCCACACGAACAAGCGAGTTCTCAGGAAATTATGGCCAGCACCGATTTCTGCGTTGTCACACCGCGGCGAAGTATACGAGCGAAAGCTCACCGAAGCACGTCGAGCTATACTCACGCGTGTACGCAACTTGTCCTCAAGTGCCTATTGCGGATAGGACAGACGGCCTGCTTTGCTTCATCGGCCCGCGCTTTTGCTAGTCTCCCATATCACCTGCTCTACCATATTGTGCCATCTTTATCAGCCTTGGGCTGACTGTAATTCAATGTTGCACATGGTCGAAACTCACGAAGCGAAGTCAGTGCAGCCGCCGTTGACCTGTGACGCTATCATCAGCCTCTGTCCGCTACGCGAGGCTAGACCAGAGCGATCACGGTGATGCATGTTGCTGTTTACGCAAGCATACCGCTGTTGACGTCCATTTGAGACACTTCTGAAGCTACGTATGCAAAGTCGGCTGCACGGATTCGAGCAGAGAAAGACGAGTATATCCATATCCTTGATGCGACGATCACGGGTCGCGAAGCCAGCGGCCATCATCACCAGTTGACACACCACTGATTCAGATACGACTAGTCGTCGTCATGCGCTTCGTATCAATCGACGGCCGTTCGTTCGTCCATCCATCCATCCACGCATCAGTCGGTAACCGCTACAGTATATCATCGCACTCACTGTTGTCGTCAGCAGATACACGTCGCACGCGTCATTTGTCAACGATGGCCTGCTGTCTACGCGACATTGAAAGCCCTACGTAAGTCCGTGTCGCACGGTGTGCGGCGTGCCAACTCTCTCCACATCGTAAGAATTTTCCACGGCATTTTGCGTTGCCAGTTCAACAGCAGTTGCCATAAGCGGTCCACCGTCCCGATTACTGTGGACATGGTCTTCCCGTCTTCTTTTTCCCCTCTTGTTTCCTCCTTCTTCAACACCGCAATCTTTGTGTGTGCGCTGCCTCATCGTGATCATGCACGCGTCGGCTAGGGTAGCCAGGTTGCTTGACAGTCATTTTCTCTCACAGATCGGGACTCAATCACACCACTATGTCTGTAATCACCTGACGCTTCCACGACGGCGGGCTTGCTCCTTCTCGCTTCTCCACTGCAACAAGTCGACACAACGTCATCATATCATGATGAGTTCTTCTCCGAGTTCAACGCGCTCGGGGCACTGTACCTCGGGCTTCGTACAGATCTTTTCTTGAGTGCAGCAAGTTAGTAGACGCGACGCCGTGTTCATGCGAGTCGAACTGTCAACAAGTGTCAAACCAACGCCGCTACAAGGCAAAGGTGTATCTGTAAGAGACTTCGATGATCGCACGTGCGCTCTCGACCACAATGGCAATCGCCAACCGAACCTGAGCCTTACCCTGTACTCTTTCCGTCGCAACCGCCAAACGCATTGCCACACAGACGAAGGCGCGTTCATTTACTCGGGACGTTTCCACGACCCTTCGCTACTTCGTCCGAACGACGGTCCCTACCAGCTGCTTCGTGGATCAGACGTCACGCACCACGCGGGCCGCCGTTACTCGAGCTGGTTCTTTTGACATCAGGAAACCGAACGTCGAGTCGTGAAACGCTTTCTCGGCGTCGTTGGCGAACAAAGCGTTCTTCGCCGTGTTTGGACCCAGCAGATGTCACAACTTCACGGCAGAAGCAGAGGGGGCTGTCGTGTGGGTTAAAGCGCTCCACTGTAGCCGAGCATTGTCTCGTAGCGCTGGCTCGTCCTGCTCGAATCGAGTACGTACGGAGTTGAGCTCCAGTCGACCGACTGGTGTTAGTAACAAGGATGATGAGGTGCGATAGACTGAGGCAGCAATCTCCAGGTGTTGCCACCACTGTGTTCGACTTCAGTGCAGATACAACTCGGGTCGTGAGGCAGGCAGGCAGTGCTCTGGATGGACGGAGTCAGCCTTACAAGTGTACGATGACGTATCTATTGCTGCAGCCACAAGTCCAAGAGCTTGGCCGTCAGCCGCATACACGAAAGCAAGACGCAATCCATTCGTTTGTGTACGTGGTCGAGCTGCTCTGTCCAGGAGAAAGCTTTAGCGTCGATGCACACGGGCAATGACCACCAAAGACCAAAAAGTGCGGCGAGTGTCGTGTCTAGCGTGAATACCAACGACTAGTGACGAGTTGTTTGATGCTTGAGCGGCTTCACTGCTATAGTCCCATCCATCAAGTCTTTGACCGACGCCGAGTCAATGTAGCAGACTATTTCTCTCGTGCATTGTCGCCTCTTTGTAGATGCTACTGCTCGCTTCTTCCGTAGCAGGTGACGCCACGTCAGTCGCGTACAACAACGAGGCAGTCCTTCCACGACGCGAGTTGCAGCATAGCGAGCAACCCGAGCGCCTGCATCGTTTGCGCGGCCTGCGACTTCGGTGTGCCGTTGCGACTCGTCCTTTCAGCTGATCCATCCCGACGAAAACGGCGCCACATCTCTCGGCCAGCGCACTGTCTCAGCACTTGCTATTCTCTCGCTTCGTGCAGTTGGCATTCGTTCCTCGACCATGTCCTCGGTCGACACGGCCAACCCGACGGCGCTGGAGGTTCCCACGACTGTCACTGCTACTACCACTACTACAACTACCACTACCACTACACCTGTATCGTCCGCCCTCGATACGGCCACGTCCAGTGCAGTGACGCGCACGACAAAGACACGCGACCGCAGTGGCTCGTTAGTCTCCTCGCTACAGCGCCTCGAGTGCGTTCGCGTGTCCAAGAGCATCTACCGCAGCGGCTCCCACTTCTACGTCGTCGACGTCTTTCTGCAGCGCAGTGCAGCGCGGTGCCGGCTCTCGGAAAGTGTCTACAGGGCCTCACCGGCCTCGCAGCTGTCGCGGCGGACCATGCGCGACTTTCTGATGGCCGAACGCGAGCCGGACTTTGTAGTCGAGCGTCGCTTCTTCGAGTTTCGCCAGCTCCGCGACGCGATTGCAGCGGTCGTCAGGGCGAATGGCGCCCACGTGGACACGTGCGTCGACTGTCGAGGGCTCGTGCGGGTGGCACGCACGTCGAAGCATCAGTACTGGACGATGCGACGTCTGTTTGGGAATACGAAGCAGCGACGCACATTGGTGTCTACCTTTGTGAATGACCTCCTGGCACGCGCGATCGGTGTGACCCGTGAGAGCCGGACAGGTGACATGGAGAAGAGCTGCATTGTGCGCGAGCAAGTGGCGGAGCTGTTGCAAGAGTTTCTCAAGCGGAGGTTTCAGCCGTCCCTTGGCATTATCTAGAGCAAAAGGGGGGAAGAGAAGGTATCTGGCGGAGGAACATGTGCAGGCCCTATGCTTTGGGTGTCTGCATGGCTCCGACTACGTAGCGTTCAGTGAGGGTGAGTGCAACAAGTTGACTTGCACGTGGTCGTGGTGCTTTGGTCAAGGTGAGGACGCTAGCGCTCATTCTTTGTCGAGGCGGTCGATGGAAGCTATGATAGGGGTACAGCGCGTTTACCATAAGAACGCACTGGATCGATGACGGATTGCATCCTCTATTCGTAAAGGTCGCACGAAGTACGCAGGTGTGTGTCAAAAGCTGGCGGTTGTGAGCAATCATGAAGTATGGAATGCTTTGTTATTACGTTTTGGTTGATTAGTGAAATTACACAACAGCACTTGAAGCAATTTTCTTGATCGCAGATTTATCAGAGCGATACTGTCAGCTCATGTTTTGACGGACAAATGTCGATCTTGTCAAGGCAGTTAGTTACCTCATTCGATAGAGCCTTCTTCGGTCATCCTGTCAACAATTGCAAAAGATAGACGAGCTAGTTGCGATTTTCATTGTCGTTTGATTGCAAGCACCTTGCAAAGCGACTGACGACGTTGTAAGGCATCTACACTGATATGGCGAAGACAGGGCCCCGTTATAGCACGAGCACTGTCGTGTGGAGATGAAGTCACCCGGCACAACGATAACGCACATTAAAAGGAAATCGATACCCGTATTATGTAATGGGGTGCGCCCAAGACATGTCATTGACATTCAAAATAATTAATGCGAATATTATCTTCGTTGAAATTATTTCTTAATTCTACCTGGCTAAGAAAATTATTGATGGAATATTACTTTAGAGGGTAATATATTAGACCACTTAACTTATTGTTTGATGTAGGAAAGGATACCTACCAAATGAATGACAAATCTCATTACTAGTACCCATATGTACATAGGTCCTAGAAACCAGTACTTTACTAAACTCAAGTACAAAAAACATAAAGAAATAGTGCTAACCACATTTTATGCTTAACTGCAACATGGGATAAGAAACAGCTTGATTGCTAACGAGTCTTTTCATTTAATAGACAACTGTCACACAATGGTCGCGGACGCTCTATTTTTTACCAACGTTCGTTCACTTATGAAATACGCCCACGCGCCGATGTGCCCACTAGCAGTGAGCACATTGCGTGCGAGCTCGGTCCTGGTCACATGAACTCGACTAGCTCGTGATCGTGGGGCCCTGTTGCGACACAGTACCGTTCGTGAGCAGTGGTAGCAGCAGGTTAGTCCTTACTGTTGGTGACGATTGTGCTGTTTAACGATTGTGTCTTAAGTCCGTGTGCGTGTATGGCAGTGCGAGGAGTATGACTGACAGGCAAGTAACAATCTGATGACTAAATCGAATGGTGCGCCCCCGTAACAGCTCGTGTAACGGGGTTACACGTCGGCTGGTAGTCGACGATAGGTGTGGTGCACACAAGAGAGGGGTCACCCTATAAAGTAATTTTAGAACACAGTGAGTGTATCAATTGTTGAAGACTGATGTCTGTCATCAATTGATTACGAGATCTTTTAAGAGGTTATTTAGGGCAGGCTAAATACGTTGTTCTAAGGTGTTCTTTTAGGTTTAATAAAGACATAAAAGTTCAGTTCCCCTTTTGATCACTGAAAGACACGTGCCTTACGAGGCGTCTTTGGTCGGTAGGAGCTAGCAATACCTGTGAAGGTAGCTGCTCCTGAGCACTCTGTGCTGTGATTCTTTTCAATCGTTTGGTCCCTTAGGAACGGAGACCGTAAGCTCTCTGAGCTTGTTGACTCTCTGAGTCGGGTTCTCTGAACCAAAACCTTAGCTCTCTGAGCTGTTGACTCTCTGAGTCGGGTTCGTAGAACCAAAGTTGCTCGTAAGAGCGCTAAGTCTTCCTCTGACTTAAGGAGCTGTGTAGCTCCGCTACACTTGGTAGCACTTGTAGTCAATCTACGCCTGAGTCGGTAACGACTGATCCTCTGTGAGGATGGAGCAATCCACACCCCTCTCTGAGGCCCAAAAGGGTGCGCTTGAGAAGCTCACCGCGGCCGTAGGCCCAGACTATGTGGAGTTTTTAGCTGCACAAGGTCCCGATGTGCTCAATGCACGAGTCGAGACCATCATGCAGTACGAAACGGCCCTTTTAGGGCAGGTTCAAAACCAGGTAGCGTCGGCTATGCCGACACGCTACGTGACGATGCCACCAGAAGAGGTTAAGCCTTGTCCCCTTCGGGTGGACGTTAAACATTACTCCGGAAAGGAGGGGGAAAACTTGACCCTCCGGATCCGTGAGATTGAGATGGCCATGAGATCTGGCTTGATCTCAATCGAGCATCAGCGAGTCTCGCTGGCCATCTCAAAGCTCGATGGAAGAGCTAGAGAATGGGCTTTGACGTGCGGCACGTCGGTCGACTTGGCGTTTCCCACTTGGGATTCGCTCAAGCTAGACCTATTGCGAGTTTTCTCGCCGCCTAACCAGGCCTATCGCGTGCGCTCACGCTTCTTGTCTACCCGTCAGGGTAAGAAAGAGTTAACGGACTATGTCCAGGAGTTGAGAACTCTGATGGCTGCCATGCAGTCTGAACCTCTCCCTGAGACCGTCTACGTGACAGTCTTCATGGAAGGTCTTCGCACTGGCGTTGCCAGGACCGAGGTCTTTCGAGTCCATCCCTCGACTTTTGAGGAGGCTGTGAGCATCGCCCAGAATGCTGAGCATAACTTTAAGTCAGCAAGACTTGGTTGGAATGGGTACAACCCAAGCTATGCGAGGGCAACCTCAGCAAATAGCTCAGGTTACTGTAAGCCCGAACCGATGGATCTCAGCAATGCTGAAGATGAAGGTGAAGCTGAGCTTCATGTTGCCGAGCAACGACAGGAGGTGAGACGCTGTTACATGTGCGGAAGCACTAAACACTTGCGTCCCACTTGTCCTTTGCGGAAGCAACGACCGACTCCTACGGGTCGAAACCCCAGCCTCAACCAGAAACTTGGTATGGCACGGGGAAACGTCGACACCCAGTAGGCGCGGGGCGCCCTACTGGGGTAGAACTGAGTTCTGTCACTTCTCTACGAGGTAGAGCAACACAGGGACTTAGCCCCACAGAGCTCCGTGCCAGCAAGCACAGAGCGTGGATACAAGCCTGACTTGTTAGTCGCCGAGGCGATAGTTAAAGGCTTTGAGAAGCACTGGTCGATATTAATCGATTCTGGGGCGTCATGCAACTATGCTAGACGCCGTTCCCTTGAGGGGAGTCAGCAATATGCTGAGGCGCTCAAAGCGCACGACGGTGATTCCATCACTGTTCGGTTAGCGACGGGTAGTCGCGTTACTGTGCCTAAAGTTCCGTTGAACTTGGGCGTGAAGTTTTTGGACTTTGATAGCACCGAACGCTGTCTCGTCCTTGACTTGGATTCGAGATACGATCTCATCCTAGGTATGACATGGCTTGAACGCCATGAACCATGTATCGATTGGAGGTCTAAGACCTTAGGCGCCACGCGCAATGTTCCTAGTGAAGCTTTGGAGAGTCATGAACCCACCTTTGCTAGGCAACAAAAGCACTATTGGCGCGAGTCATTGGCGGAAGATGTCAATGTGCTGGACATTGGTATGTCGGAGCTAACTAGCTCGAATGTCTATGACATGAATATTGAGCGGAGCTCTTCTAATGTGTTTGAAGAGAGATGTACTCCGTTGAGTGATACTCGTTGTGATAATGAGTCACTGCATGCGTCAAGCATGGTTGGCCTACGGGCGGGACATACAGGAAGTAATTCCCATGATGTAAGTGCGGTGGCACGTGAAATTACACAGAGTGAGGGTGGCCGTGATGGCACCTCACTGAATGTCGATAATGACATTGTTGGCGAAAAACAGCCAGAGCATTCAGGGCAAAGCCCACTTAATGCAAGTGAAGTGGTATGTGTTAATCCACTGGGTGAAGTGTTCGAGTTACATAACTCTCCACCAGATGTCGTTCAAGACATGAGCTCTTGTATAGAGCGTGCTAAGACAACTAGCAACTACAGGGACCCTACTGTCCCAACTTTTGAGAAGCGTAATGGGTCTACGACCCGTCAGTCCCGACGCCCGGTGGCAGCTGATGAGCGCCCCACGTCAGATACGTCCCATAGTGATAAAAGCAACAATACACTATACACACTTGTTAATGGAGTAACTGGTCATGTTGATGGTAACATCCGTCTCGCAACTCTTCCGTCTGTGGACGCTCTCTTCAAATTGGACGAAATGTCTGATGGCGACTTTAGCCAAGCCTTACAGGCCGGAGAATTATCCGATCTAGTGGTCATTCGACCCGATGCAGAGTTGAGTTCTTCCTCGTTATTGGACGAATCCGTCCTCGAGGACACAAAGGCGTCATTAAGTGCGCGTAGTGGATCTGCGATCCTTAAAGATCCGCTGGATCCGTTTTATCCTTTGGTAAAGGAATTTAAAGACGTGGTGTGCCACGACCCGCCGTCTGCCTTACCTCCTGACAGAGGTGTGCGTCACGAAATTGACTTAGTTCCTGGAACTAAATACTGCGTAACACGGCAGTGGCCTTTACCAAAGGAGCAGTGTGACGTCATAGACGACTTCTTTCGTGCAAAGCACGCAGCGGGCATGGTTCGTGAGAGCAAATCTCCTCATTCCACGCCCACATTTTGTGTCCGAAAGCCCAATGGAAAGTGGCGCATTGTTCATGCTTACAATAAGCTTAATGCTGCCACAATCCCGGCTCAGACACCAATCCCTCGGAAAGATGTTCTTCAGAACAATATGGTGGGATGTACAATGTACAGTGCACTCGATTTAGTCGATGGTTATTACCAATTACTCATGCGTGAGAGCGATATCCCGCTAACAGCGGTTAGTACCCCGAGCGGTATGCTCTGGGAGTGGCTAGTTATGCCACAGGGCTTGTCAAACGCCCCAGCTACGTTCAATCGTCTTGTGACGCAACTGTTTCGGCCTCACCGAGGTTATGC